GCGACCCTCGTCTACCCTCCCACCTCTGCGACCCTCGCCTGCCCTCCCACCTCTGCGACCCTCCCCTGCCCTGGGGAGGGAAAAGGCCCCGAACCCGGTTTAAAGCATCTGTGACGGAATTTACACCTCTTCCGGTTGGAGATTACAAAGCATAGCCTGGGTTTAGAAGGGAGATGATTCGGCAGAGTTCCCCGCCCTCCTCTCCTGGCGGAGTGGGGAGCCGCTCTTCCTCCTCCTCCCCTCCCAGTAGTAATCCCTGCTAAATGGGGAGGGGGTCTGGGAGCAGGGCCGGTTTGAATGAAAAGCTGTGAGCGATCCAAGTACCGGGCCGCGGCAGGACGAACCTGTCTGAGTCCGGTGCGCCAGGGCTGCGCCGAGCTCCCGCGTGCACCCGTCACTGGACGGGGTGGGAGGGCTTCTCCTGGGTCCTCACCCTCATCTCGGGCCAGAATCTTCAGGGTGGGGCCTTGGCATCCATTTTCCCACAAGCTGACAGGTGAGCGATGCGAAATCAAAACTCGAGATCGTTATTGTTAGGTGGTAGTTCTTGAGTCCGGGATGGCAGCTGTGAAGATCCGTCAGCCTGTTGCGTCACCAGATGCTGGTCAGCTCATCTTCCGTTGCATTTGGAAAGGTCTGCAGTAGTAGTAGTGTCTTACTCAACGGACAGAGTAGTTCGTGTTTTTTTAACTGGCTTTGAATATCTGGTTACTAGTGCCTAGCAATCTGTCAGTTGCTGTGTGTGATGAGGAAATGACAAGGGAAATCCAGACGTGGTGCTAGTTGAAAATAAATCTTTTCAAATCACAATTGAAATTGTTAGATAAGAAGCTGGGGAAGAAGGCATGACTTACATGTTTTTTATTTTGTTTGTTTTACAATTCACGGAAAGAGATGCAGGCTTCTGTTATGGAATGGATTTTAATATTTTTCCAGATTAAGAATCTGCCAGCATCATAAGAAGGATGGTTTGGCAATATATTGTCAATCACAAGCACCCTGGACTCTGTCAGGAGAGCTTGGTTCTAGTCCCACTCTGCCAAAAATGCATTCCTGTTGTTGAGCAATTCATATAAGCCTGTCTAACCCCTTTCCCATCTTTATAATAAGGCTGATCACATGAATTAATCATGAGTTGTTATTTTCAAATTATAGATTTATAGTTACTGACCCTGGTACTTTAAATATTAACCATTTTCAGTTTAGGTGGCTGTAAATCATGAATTCTTGGGATACTTCTAGGTGGTAATTAGAAAGAGTTATAAAAATCTTATATTCAGAGAGTTTTAACACATAATTTATAAGACAGTATAAAATATAGCTTAAGTGTTGGATTTTTAATGTTTCTCTTAATGTTATCCTGGGTCAGACAGATTATCTAGTCACTTGAAGCAAAATATTCTACCCATACAAACTTCAGAGTCATGTCATAGGTGAGCAATGGAAATCAGTGGATTTTCTTCTGTTCTTTTATATACAGGGCAGCTCTCAGCCTTCTCCTCCTGAAAGGATGGGGGGGACTTTTGCTCCATTGCCTGGTGGACAATTAGTGATCCAGATGTGAGAATGGAGAGCAAAAACTACCTACTTTTTTGCTTTAAAATCTATGAAAATATATATATATATATATATATATATATATATATATATATATATATTTTAATATATTTTATTGATTTTTACAGAGTGAGAGAGGGATAGGGAGCCAGAAACATCGGTCAGCTGCCTCCTGCACACTATGTGCCCACAACCAAGGCACATGCCCTTGAGCAGAATTGAACCCGGGACACTTCAGTCTGTAGGCCAACGCTCTATCCACGGAGCCAAACCTGTTTCGGCAAGAGAGGGAATCATTGATTGGCTGCCTCCTACATGTCCTACACTGGGGACTAAGCCCCAAACCCCAACATGTGCCCTGACAGGGACTCAAACCATGGTTTCCTGGTTCCTAGGTCCATGTTCAACCACTGAATCATGCCGGCCAGGCCTACTTTCTTGCTTTTAAAGACAATTTCCAAATGATTTCTTAGTTTAGGGATAATTAAAGCAAAGGAAGAAAACATACTTTTATAGTTGCAAAAGAAGGTGCTAGAAGCCAAGACCTACTGAGGTTACCGTTTTCTTTCCTTAAGAAAGAGTTATGATAGAGAAAACAGCATTCTATGAGACTGCATAACCAAAACACCTTTAGAAGGCTTTCTGGAGGTCAGTTAAGACAAGAAGCTGAAAAATGGGAGGAATCAGCTATGAAGGAGATGAAAAGGGAGAAGTGTTAGAGGAGTCAGCTTCTGAAAGGCTTGGGGGCATAGAGATTGTTTATAACAGCGGTTCTCCACCTTCCTAACGCCGCCACCCTTGAGTACAGCTCCTCATGTTGTGGGGACCCCCAACCATAACGTTATTTTCGTTGCTACTTCATAGCTGTAATTTTGCTACTGTTATGAGTCGTAATGTAAATATCTGTGTTTTCCTGTGGTCTTAGGCTTTACAGCAGTGGTTCTCAACCTGTCCATCGGAAAAAACAGATATTTACATTACGATTCATAACATTAGCAAAATTACAGTTATGAAGTAGCAACGAAAATAATGTTATGGTTGGGGGTCACCACAACATGAGGAATTGTATTAAAGGGTTGTGGCATTAGGAAGGTTGAGAACCACTGATCTATAAGATGTTTAATGTGATTACAATGTGGGTTTTGCAGGGGAGGTGGAAGGAGAATTTGTGATAATAGTTATGCATTTGAGAAGTTCATGATTAGTTATGAAGGCAACTAATAGACAGAGTAGCCTAAAATAAATACAGTGTTTTAATTTTACCTGGTCCATTTATGTAGTTTCTTGAAGGCCATCCTCAAATATTCCTCTGTGAAACTTCCCAAACCCACTTTAGCTCAAAGACATCACACTCTACATTCAGTTCTAATTGTCTCTGTTATGCTACTGACAAGTAATCACACACTGTCATGTCCTTTTTTTTTACTTTTTTTTAAAATATGTATATTTTATTGAGTTTTTACAGAGAGGAAGAGAGAGGGATAGAAAGCTAGAAACATCGATGAGAGAGAAACATCAATCAGCCGCCTCCTGCACACCCCCCACCAGGGATATGCCCGCAACCAAGGCACACACCCCTAACCGGAATCGAACCCGGGAGCCTTCAGTCCACAGACCGACACTCTATCCACTGAGCCAAACCGGTTTCTGCCCTTTTATTTTTAAATCTAATTTTTGAACCACTAATCATTTCTGTGTTTGTGTTATCTCTTCACATAATATAGTGAGCATCCTGAACCTTGAGCTTGCTGAACCTTGTATAGAGTAATTAAAAGCTCAGTAAGTAGGGGTTTAGTCAATTAGCAGATAATGGAGTACAAAAAAGAAAGTCTAGTTCTAATCCGAGTTTTCTTCCATCTCACTCTGTGATATTGTATAACTCCTCTGGATTAAGGTTGTCTTTTCTGTCAGATGACAGAATCAACTCTTCCCAGTGGAGATGGGGGTTTGGAGGAAGGATTTCACTTTTCAAACTAAGTAGGCAGACCTCACCTCTCAGTTGGGTTTTCTTTGAAGAGCAAAGTATTGGACGAGGGCTACTGTGTAGAAGGGAGTATAATGCACATGCAACGCCCAGTAGTGAAGGTAAGATTTCACATGGGTAGTTGACTTTTGACTTTATTGTAATTGACACCAATCAGAGATTGTGCACATACATACTATGTTTGACTCCCTTATTTTATCTATGGGTAAAGTTTATAGGCAGTTCAAATCAGATTGGTGAAGAAGGAAGTGTATACATAGTTACTGTGACTAAGGGGAAACTGAATTTATTACCTCATTGTGATGAAACACCTGCTAGCTTCCTATGTAAAGGAAGATGATTGAAATCAGAGAATGGAACCTTTAGTCCCTGTGATAATTGAAAATAATCTTTTTTTTCCTGCCCCCTTATTTGTATAATGATCAGGCCAATATCTTGCCTTTTTTTTTATATTTAAAAGAATAATAATATTTAGAAAAAGAGAATTTTAAGAAGCTCATGGGATATAAGGTATGTAAGGAAAGACAGCTAAAGCCTGAGAGATATTCTTTTATTATAAAAGAATATAGTTTGGCCCTAACCAGTTTGGCTCAGTGGATAGAGCGTCTGCCTGCGGACTCAAGGGTCCCATGTTCAATTCCAGTCAAGGGCACATACCCAGTAGGGAGTGTGCAGGAGGCAGCTGATCCATGTTTCTCTCATCGATGTTTCTATCTCTCTATCCCTCTCCCTTCCTCTCTGTAAAAAATCAATAAAATGTATTTTAAAAATAAAAAAAAAAACATAGTTTGATTTTATGCTGCAGTATTGTTAAAAATTATAACCTTGTTATAAAAATATTGGTTCAATTGAACATGTTATGTTTAAAAGGAGACGTTTCTAGCAATAATATTTAAATAAAAGCTTTGTCCTTAAAATATGTAAATGAGTCAAGTAGGAATTTTGGCTATTCAGACAGCCACCGTCAATAATGAAGATTAGTGTAATGGGTTGGAAACTATTCAGAGGCGAGAACTGAAGCCGGGTAGCATGTTGGAATAAGTCAGCCAGTTGTAATTGAAAGCAATAAAGACTGCACTCAACTATTACACTTAAAGTCTTAGCGGTATTTTCACCATGATATTGAAGAGGCAATAAGGAGTATCAGTTTGGTTTGAATAATTTAAAGTTGTCAAGTTGAATTGATTAAGGATGAAGAAAATAAAAAACTTTTAAAAGGATGAAGATAGTCAGAAAATTAATAGCTACTATTTTGACAAAAGTTACTTTAAAATGCACTGTTATGAATAATGACATGCTAAAAAGGAACTGGTGTATGGAGAAATGTTTTTTAGAGTTCATGGATACCAGATTATGGGAACTAGGATTATTTTAAGTACATCCAGTCACTTAATGTTCTAGTTGCTTTTAATTGCAGAACCTCATGGAAATTCTCTTTCAGGAAGATTCTTCAATCAGTATGTCATCCAACACAGATGTTTCTCTTTCTTCATATGATGAAGGTCAAGGATCTAAATTTATCCGAAAAGCTAAAGAGGCACCATTTGTCCCTATTGGTAAGTTTGGCTTTGACATTCTGATAATTATCTATTGTAACACAAAGTGTGACCAATTCATCAAATACATCCATAAGCATTATTTTCAAATGTTTTTTCATGTGTGATTGAAATATGCTGAGATTGGTATGATAAAACTATCATTATAAAAATGCTTCTGTATGTAGTTAGACTTCTTGCGATATTGACTCTTTTAGAGACTATATTGGGGACTGGACCCCTTAGTCTTTGTGGTTTGCTAGGAGGACTCAAGAGGCTTATCTTTTGTTTTTTCATTATTGTTGAAAGTATTACATATGTTTTTTTTTCCCCCCTCAAAATATTACATATGTCTTCTTTTTAAAAAACCTGTTCTACTCACAGTTATAGTTTATTATAGTCTCTGTTATATTAATTGATTCCCTTTCGAGAGGGAAGTAGGACAGAAAGGAAGAGTTTTCCTGGTTCTCTTAAAGGAACTTATCTACTGGATTCACAAGCCCACATTTTGAAGATCTTTATAAGTCTGTTACTTTTTGCTACCATCTCAGGATTTTTGGTCCTGAGTGGAGGGAATTAAAAACATGACAAGTATGTTAGCTAATTAATGGTCTCATAAACATTCTATAAAATAAAGAGCTAATATGCAATGATCATTGCACGAGAGTAGGGGATGGAGTGGGGTGGGGAAGATCTGAGGCTGTGCCCTCTGCCCAGTGGGGCTTGACAGGGGTGGGGCCAGCCAGGTCTGGATATCATGATTTCCAGGTGGGTGGCGGGGACTTGACTCTGGGTCACGTGGCATGCCCCAGACTCTGACAGGAGGGAGATTTTCATATACATTTTACTTTCTTTCATCTCTGACACTTCTATTATAGAGAAAGGACAAATAGCAATATTAAAATATTTCTTATAATTAATTCCCTTTTAATGTGCATGAATTTCGTGCATCAGGCCACTAGTTTTTATATACAGTAGTAGAAAGTACATTGATTGGTGGTGACATCATCTTGGTTCCCTGTCCCCATATATCTAACATAATTGTGACTATTTATTTCTCAGGAATGGCGGGTTTTGGAGCCATCGTTGCATATGGATTATATAAATTGAAGAACAGGGGAGATACTAAAATGTCCCTTCACCTGATCCACATGCGTGTGGCAGCACAAGGTTTTGTTGTGGCTGCAATGACTATTGGTAGGTATCTACAGGAAATTTCAAATTTGTGGTTTCCCATTAACTAATTTCTTTGAAGGTACATACTTTTAGCTAACTTTGAAGTAGTTTTTAGATATCACTTGTATTTATTTTCCTAGAAAAGTGATTAATTTAAAATAGTTCAATTAGTGACATAAAATTACTGTGTATGATACAGGGTGGAGCGGAAGTAGGTTTATAGTTGTTCATGTGGAAAATAATACAATCATGAATAAATAATAACTAACTAGCCAGAAGAAAATTAGAGTTTATAGATAATAGTAGAATTCATCTAGCCAAACATATCATAAGGTACAACTGACAGTGGATGAAGGAGGAAAACATATAATTAGCTTAATAAAAAATTTTGATAATACATGTAAATAAATAATACAAGAATATACTCAGAACTGTAAACCTACTTACTAAGGTTATAAAGGAAGAAAGACAATCCTGTCCATCACTGAGTTTATAATTTCACTGAAGAGCCTAGACATGCCTAGGGTTGGAAGATCCATTATCTGGAAGAAATCTATGATTGCTGTTTTATTGGGTTGAAGATAAAACGATTTTTTTTAAATGTAGGTATTACATGCTTTCATTGGCTTTTTCTGGTACTACGTAGCAAGAGCAGTGCCTTTTAAACTTGCCGGATAAATACTGAACAGTCTGAGCTTGTCATACTAGCTTCAAGCTACTTGGGAAATTCAAAAGAATTTTAGAAATACAAAATTTTTAAGAAGGCAAGTAAGCAACCGGGTCTTGTTCCCTTTATAGAGATTGCATGCTAACAAAGATGCTACTGTTAGCTCTTTTATGAGCCATTTTTAATGTTATTAATATTAAATAAATATATTTAAATGCATAACCAGCATTCTTCTTTTCTTTTCTTTAAGGTATGGGCTATTCCATGTATCAGGAATTCTGGGCAAATCCAAAACCTAAGCCATAGAAGAAGAGATGCTGTCTTGGTCTTGGTGGTGTTTGCTATAGTTAGACATCTCATATTGAGGTTATATGTTTATATTGAAAATAAATCATTTGAGAGGGTCAGACAATGACACATTAATTTGAATATTGGCTTCCTATTTTGCAGGCTTGATTTCCCAGGTGACTACATTACTAGTGACTAGTTCACTAGCTAGGTCATTCAGGGAGTCAGGTTAGCACATAAGAAATGCGTCATTTTCAATGCACTTGATGTGGTGAAATAAATGTCCGCCTTGTTAAACTCTTCTGGTGAAATTAGTTCTAAGCAAGAACAACATGCCAATCCTGGAGTACTCCCAATTGCTGCAGAATCTCACATGCTTTTGATGTTATGTAGGAATCCTATTTGCCCCAGTTACTTTGACTTTATTCTGCCTGCCTTTTGGACTGAATGAGGACTTCGGTTTTTAGGGCTGACTATCTCTTAAAGAACCCTTTCAGAACAGTGCATGGCATATAATGTTACAAACCCCCACAACTGAACGTGTGTGTGTTTAAACCAAACCTAACATGCTGATAAAGCTGCTAGAAGGTAGTATTTATTTTAGAGTCACACTTGTAAATGTAAAATAATTATGGGTCCCAGTTTAGCTCTTTTCTAATTGCAGAATTATATTTTTGCTGCTGTTATATTAGAATCATTTTTAAATGTCACCTTGAAATAGATATATGTATTTAAGTGCTAACACAAAGGTAATGAAAAACCGTTTTTAAATATTTGCTGTATGTTCATTTTCTCTGTAAGAATCATAAATGTTAAATTAAACAAATTACCTATAAAGGAAATGATGACTGATTGAAGAGCAAGCTCTGGAAAGACATTATACAAAAACTCTGGTGTACTACAGAAGGCTTTACTGCAGTTGTGAAATTCTAACCTGAATTACATTCCATGGTGATACATGGTAAATGTAGTGTTATTAAAGTAAGTGAACACATCAAATGGTTTGTATTTATTTCAATATGGAAAAATAAAGCATTCCTCAAAGTAGCATAAAAATTAAGTTTCCAAAGAGATAAACCAAAGAACTTACATACTTACATGCATATCCTATGGACATGGGCAATAGGGTAGTGAAGACCTGGAGGGTGAGTAGGGGCTGGGAGGACGGGAGAAGTGGGAGATATCTGTAATACCATCAACCAAAAAAAATATTGAAAGATTTTTTTTAAGTTTCCAGAAATGAGGGAGAGCATTTTGTACCTTTGGTAAGAATGATGGTTAAAGAATATATACCAAACAGGAAAAAGGGCTAGCATTTAATGAGCATTTACTGTGTGCTACACACTGTCATTTAAATTTCCCAACAACCCTAATCGTTAGGAGCTATGATCCTCATTTCATAGAGGACTTTGGCATGAATAGTTTAAGTAATTAAGTAATGTCGAATAGCTAGAGAAGGATGTAGGTTTGGGACTGGAACCTGTATTGTCAAGTGATAGATTCCAACATGTATTAGAGACTTGAAATGTTGGCCTTTGTGAAATTAATGCTGGAGTGGCGGCATTAATTTTATTTCTTATAAAATTAAGAGGGCATGGCACGGTCTTGGCTCACCACTGACTGTATAATCTGGACCAAGTCAGGATTTTCTCACTTTTCCTCGCCTCCATTCAGTAGTGATAAATGTGTCTACAGTGGACGCCAACGTGCATTGTCCCCCCTCAGAGGAAGGTAGGAATAGGTCTTTTGAAGATTTTGAGTTTCTTATACCTTCCAGCTAGAGCCCCATTACCTACGCTCAGCTTGTCTGCAGCCACACTCGGTCCTCCCCACCGGTGCTCCTTCCTAGCTCACTCATTTGTCAGTGATGTCCTCTGGCTTCCGCTGTCACATTCTGGGCTCAAACTCAAGCATCTTTCCTTCCTCCTGTCATTTATCACTATTAAACCAGTCACCAGGGCCTGCCCGTTTTTCCTAAGCAAAGTCTCTCGGCATTCAGATTTGTCCTTTTCCTCTCCCTGTAAACCTAGGTCCTCCACCTCCCTTCTGCCACCCACCTACAGCAGTGCCGCTGATGCCACAGCCCTGTGCCAGCACAGCCCCAACCCTTTGCTTATGCTCTGCTCCTTTCCCGAATGTTCCCCCTCACTCCCAGTGAGTTCGGGGCACGCCTTAAGTTAAAACACTAACCAAATTCTACTTTTGGTAGAGTTTTTTAAAATTCTTCTAGGCCACAATGAACTTCACCTTTTTTCAAATTGTGTCACATGTGAGTTTAAAACACAATGCATGTCCCACTATGATAATACTTGACTTATATACAGCTTTGCTATATATAAAATACTTTAAGATTCTTCCTTTCGTTCCTCGGAAACTCTTGACGTACATATTATCCTGACTTTGTCAAGGAGGAGAGCTGAAATTTATTCAGGGCCATACGAGTGAAAATCGACAGAGCTGGGCACAAATCCAGTACTTGAGATCCTTGGTCATGAAGAGAGACTGCATGATGAAGGCAGGTACACAGAGCCATGTCTGTTCACGAAATACTTGTTCTACCTTCCACCACCCACATACACACTCTCCACCCAGGTCCCAAGTCTAGTATTTTTTTCCAGTATACTTTGTATCTTATCCTCAGATTTAATTTTTTTAAAACGGGGTCTTTTTATTATTGTTTTAAGATTTTAAAAATTGATTTTTAGAGAGAGGAAGAGAAGAAATAGATGTGAAAGGAGAACATCAATTGGCTGCCTCCTGCATGCCCCCTACCAGGAACTGAGCCCACAACCTGGGCCTTTCCCCAGACTGTGAGTCAAATCCAGCAATCCTTAGGTGTATGGGATGATGCCACACCAGCCAGGCTATCCTCAGATTCCCCCTCCCCCCCCCCGCCCCATAAATTAAAATCCTTAGCCAATATTTGTTTTGGCCTTTATAAGAAGGAAGGTGAGATTCCCATATACAAATGGTCTTGACTGGAAGAGGTGAATGAAAAACTGTGAAATACACAAGGCATTGGCGACCTAATCAATATGGGAGAAAACGATGACCACGAAGACCAGTTGCTTTCCATCCTTGTGTTTTGAAAAACCAAGAGTGATATGAACCAAGAGTGAAATTGAGAAAGTTTGGGGCAAATGTAAATTGTATTACCAGTGCATTGTGCTGAGAGCTTGAAGCAGAGCCAGGGTAGACCTCATCCACCAGAGAGATCCCTTGGAACTAAATAAAGACTAATGAATCTTGGCAGAACATTTAGTTTCCTAGTGAAATCAACGTATGATGAATGAGATCGCCATATACACAGCCACATCTTAGACAAAATTGCTCCATGGGTCAAATAAGACATGAAGTGGCATTAAGTGAGAGGCTGGTGGCCAACAAAAGCCCAAATCCTTGGTGAGTTGAAGAGGCAGAACTGACAGTGGTATCCAGCACCTTCCAGCCCACAGGAATTTGAACCTGGAAAGCGTGAACAATTTTTTTTTAATTGTATTTTAAAAAATATATATTTTACTGATTTTTTACAGAGAGAAAGAGAGTTAGAAACATTGATGAGAATCATCGATCAGCTGCCTCTTGCACACCTCCTACTGGGGATATGCCCACAACCAAGGTACATGCCCTTAACCGGAATCGAACCCAGGACCTTTCAGTCCACAGGCCGACGCCCTATCCACTGAGCCAAACCGGTTTTGGCTCGGCAACAATTTCTATCTCTGCGGGAGCCCCTGGCTAAGAAGAGGCATATTTACTAAGACTTAACCCTGAGGCAAAAATATCTCGAGGCAGTTTGCCTGTTTGCTCTGAACCCGTACCCACAATCTCCTTCTGGTAACTCTTGGCTTCTTGCGTGTCTGATTTCTGGAAGGGAAGGGCTCTGGATAAGGGTCACCGTCCCCTAAAGTAAACTGGTGGCTTAGTGTTCTGGGTAATGCCATGACTGGCATAAGTCTAGCCCCAAAGACACTCCTGGTACAACGACCAAGTCCGATTATGGAGCCCGGCTTGAAGCTGAGCAAAGCTTACTTCCATTTTGAGACAAAACAGCTAAATATGGAGTGGTATTTCACTGTGAGTTTATGGGGTTTTTTAAATTTTATTTTTAATCCTCACCTGAGGGCATTTTCCCATTGATTTGTATATAGAGTGGAAGAGAGGGAGAGACAGAGAGAAATATCCACGTGAAACATTGGTTGTCTCCTGCACACACCTCTACTAGGGCCTTGGCCAGGGAGGAGCCTGCAACTGAGGTGTGTGTCCTTGCTCAGAAACAAACCTGGGACCCTTTGGTCCGCAGGCCGACGCTCTATCCACTGAGCCAAACTGGCTAGGGCTTTTAAATATATTTTTATTGATTTCAGAGAGGAAGGGAAAGGGGGAGAGAGATAGAAACATCCATGATGAGAGAATCATTGATTGGCTGCCTCCTGCATGCTCCCCACTGGGGATGGAGCTGCAACTGGGCAAGTGCCCTGACCAGGAATCCAACTGTTACCTCCTGGCTCATAGGTCAAACCTCAACCACGGAGCCACACTGGCCTGGCTCTCTGTGGTATTGATTTGCATTTCCTTAATGGCTAGCGATGCTGAGCATTTTTCATGTGCTTATTAGCCATTTGTATATCTTCTTTGGAGAAATGTTTATTCAAGTCCTTTGCCCAGTTCCAATTTTTTGTTGTTGTTGTTGTTGCTGTTGTTGAGTTTGCTCAACTGATTTTTTAAAAAATATATAGATGTTATTGATCTCAGAGAGGAAGGGAGAGGGAGAGAGAATCATTGATTGGCTGCCTCCTGCACAGCCCATACTGGGGGTTGAGCCTGCCACGGGGTATGTGCCCTGAGGGAGAATAGAACTGTGACCTCCTGCACACCCCTGGTGGAAGCTCAACCACTGAGCCATGCCGGCCGGGTTGCCCCACTGATTTTTGACAAAGGTTCAAAAGCAATCAAACGGAGGAAGGCTATCTTTCAACAGATGGTGCTGGACATTGGTAGGCAACAAAACAAAACCT